AGCGCGACGCGCCGCCGTCCACCGCCACGAAGGCGGTCCGCGGCTTGGGCGGCGCCTACAGGGGATCGGCCCGGACAGGCTCGCACACGCACGCACACACGCGCGCACGCGGGCGGGGCTCTGTTCTGCTGCGGCCGGTGGCGCCTTCATCTCGAGCGTGCGCGCGCGCCGCTCGTCGTCGATCTGCTCGAAGGTGCGCCGGACCGAGCCACGCCGGCCCGCGGCCCTGCTCCTGGGCGATGCACCCGGGGCGGAGGCGCCGGTGGCGGTGGCGGTGGCGGTGGCGGTGGCGGAGGCGGTGGCGGAGCCTCCCGAGGTGTGTGAGGAGGTGGTGGCAGCAGTTTCAGCCTCGGCTCCTGCAGAGCCAGCCTTCGCGGCCGCGGCCGACCGGCCGGAGGAGAGGTGGAGGAAGGAGCCGTGCGCGATGCCTAGCTCCGCGAGCGTCGAGCCGCCCGAAGCCTTGACGTCGAGCGGCTCGCCTTGGCGAGAGAGCTGCCGCGCGCCGTCCAGCCGCAGCTTGTGCTGCGCCGCGAGCGCCTCCTCGAGCTGCGCGAGCGTCGAGCTGCCGCTCTCGAGCCGCACCTTTTTGACGCCCTCGCTCGTCCGGATGCGCACGACGAGGCCTCCGGCCGGAGCGCTGCCGCCTCGCAGCGCGAGCAGCGGCCTCGGCGGGCACACGGCGCGCCGCCCAGCTCGGAGAGGGAGCAGCGGATGCCCGCCTGCCGCGGCAAGGGCGGCGGAGACGAGGGCGGCAGCCAGCATATGTGTGTATATGTACACGTGCCCGGCGCGGGCTCGGCCTGCCAGTGGGTATGAGAGCGTTTAAGAAAAAGAAACCCGCCGGCGGCCAAGATCCAAAGTTGAATGCACGTGCTGAAGCGGTGTATCCCGAAACACGCCAAACCTACACACCTACCATCAACACTGAGAAAGTGACATGACGCAAGCGCCATCACATTGCTCGCCCCAACTAGTCGTCCTCCCCCTGCGTGGGCGGCCCAAGGACGGTGCGATCGAGCTCGTCGAGCTCCATCCCGTTCGCCTGCTTGTGCTGCGCCTCCATCAGGCACATCTGAAAGAGGCCGCCCCCACGGAAGTGCGGGCTCGAGAACAAGCGCGCGCGCATCTTGCGCGCCTCGGCTTCGGCTCCTGCCGGGTCCTCGCGCCGCTGCACCACGCGGGGGTCCTCCTTGATTGGGAAGCGATCGAGCGGGAAGACGTCGCTGCGGCGGAGCGAGGGCGGGTACGGAGGCGGCTTCGCTGCCTCGGCGGCGGCGGCCGTGGCGCACTGGCTGGCATGTCCGGCGGGCTCGCCCTCGACGGGCGGTAGCTTGGCCTCGAGGAACGAGAGGGCGCCGTTCGCGGTGTGCATCCGCTCCCGGTCCGGTACCTCCCACGAGGGATGGCCACTGTGCATCAGCGCTGCGCAGGCTTCCGATACGCCGGACGTTCCCGCGACAAAGCCGTCGGCGCTGATGGTGTTGCCCGCAGGAGGCGTCCCCGGAGGAGGGGGCACGCAGCCATGTCGGACCAGCGCATCCAGCCGCGGGAAGCTGGCGGCGAAGCGATACCTAGAATAAGAGCCCGAGCACCCGACCGTGGCGAGTTCCGGCTCGTCGTGGACCTCCCAGAACTCACGCTGGATCAACGCGACGTTCCGTGACTCGCCGCCGCGCAGGCGAGGTGCCTGCTCGGCCGACAGCTCCTCCGGGCCCGCCTCCTCCCAGTACTCGCCACCCGGGTTGCACAGGGTGAGTTCACACGGGCCCTGCGCCTCCTGCATCCAGATCAAGCACGCCTCCACGTCGCAAAGAGCTTCCATCAGCGATGGCGGACCGTCAACCTCCTCATACAGCACTGTGATCTTCACAGGCGCAGGCTCAAACGGCGACGTGCCGCACGAGTCGAAGCGCACAAAGGCTCCTCCGTCGCTGCCTCGTGAAAACACAAACAGCTCGCCCTTGCAGCGTGCCATGTGGCGTGCCATGGCTGGGAACGCCTGATCGAAGTCGACTGGTGCGACGGACATGCCGGCGATCTTCTCGGTGACATCGTCGTCTGGCATCAGCACTCCGAGTGCTCGGCGGCGTCGTCGTGTCGGGATTTAGTAGTCGCGTGGAGGCCGTCGCTAGTAGCTGTTTCGGGTCACGGCCGCGCGTGCTGGCGCTGTGTGCTTTGCTTGGTGGTGTACCAGGAGGAGCGCGCGCGACGTGTGCGCGCGCAGAAGATTGCCGAGGGTCTTCTTCACACGTTCACACGTTCACACAGACCAAACCATAGACCCGGGAGTGCTGCTTGGGTGGTGAATCCCCTCAAGCGCTTGATGCGCGAGAGCGTCGACGCGAAGGGGTATTAAGCGTTCGGCACCCCTTCGCCAGCATGAAATTCGCCGTGCTTGGGCTCGCGCTAGCGTCTACATCCGCGCTAAGAGTGCAGCCACGAGCGACAACCGCACGGATTGGCCGCGAGGTGGTGCGCCGATGCAGCAGTCTCAGCATGTGTGACGCTGTCGACGAGGCATCGATCCCGGTGCTCTCAGGCTGGTCGCAGCTGCAGGATGGTAGATTCACTGGCGTGTCGCGTGATCCGTGATGTCGACTGTCAGCCCGGAGGAAGGACGTCAGATGTGGCTTCGTGCATCGTCCATCAGTTGGACGCCAGGTCCAGAGCCACGAATGGCGTTCATAAAGTCGCCGGGCGGCAAGCTTTACCAGCTCGGCGAGCAGGCTGAAGCGGACGCCCATCTGCTGCGCAGTCTACGCTCATGGGCTGCCGTCGGGCAGGCCAAGAACGCGCTGCTTGCGTTCGCACTGCTCAGCTGGTCAGCGCTGACCCGTGCGGCGATGGACGAGGACCTTCTGCCGAAGCTCGGCGTGGCGTGCGGCGCATCCACGGTGCTGATGCTCACGTACCTGGCCATCACGTCAGCGGCACGGAGTACATGTACTCACAACTCTAAAGCACGCTCGCATGAAGTTACTCATGTTTTCCGAAATGAATCGCTGTTGTAACGCTGGCTATTGAGGCTATTGAGGCGTCGCGTTTGCCGACTAGAAACCCCGGGACCCTGCACTAGGGCGCCCGCGAGTCGGCACCCGCTCAATAGCGGTCGCGATGAAGCCTCGTAGAAACGTCGCAGCCACATCGACCACTGCCGCCGTCGGGTTGACACTGCTACTTCGCTGCTACGTTGTCGACGCGACGGCGAAGGCCGGTGCTTAGGTTAGTGCATGCCGCTTGGCTCTGTGAGCCGCCCGGCTGCGACAATCCGCCACTCTGGCCTCCGCCGCCCTACTGCGTCGACGGAGCGTTGCGGGCTTCCTAGGTTAGTGCATAAGGTTAGTGCATACCGCCTGGCAGTCCGCATATTCTTGGAGGTCCACCTCCAAGCCCTGATAAATGAAAAACCCCGTGCCGCGCCTAGACCGGAAACTCGAGCGAGCCCAAGCAGCGCCGGGACGCTCCTCTCCACCGTGATGCTCCTCGCCATCGTCGTCACCACGACGTGGCTGCGGACGGGCGTCGCCCACGACATCGTGCGCCCGCTCTCCAACGTCGCCGAGATCCCTGCCTCGCCTGCCAGGAGCGGCGTCGACCTCATCGCTGGGCAGGTGCGCGGGTAGAGCTCTCCACCATACTCTGCCGCGATCCCGGCTGCTGCGAGCACGGCGCCGCCCGGTGCGCGCGAAATGACCCCTGCCGTTCCCGCGCGCACGCAGGTCGCCGAGGAGGACGTCGAGTGCCAATGCGCAAGCACGACAAATGTGCGCGCGTCCGCCGCCGCCATGCAGCCCCGGCCCTCCCCGCCGTCGATTTCGTCGCCGTCCGTGCGCGCGCCGCCGTTCACTCTGCCGCCGCCGTCGCCCCCACTTCCGCCGCCCCCGTTTTGCGCCTCGCCGCCGCCGCCGTTCTCCTTTTTCCCGCCGCCCGCGCTTCCGTCAGTCGCGCGCGCGCGCGGCTCGCCTGCGTCGCCGTCGCCCCCCCTCTCGCCGCCGCTCCCCTCACAGCCTCGTACAAGGGTGCCGCCGTCGGCGCCACAGCCTTCGCTCGCCCAAACGGTGACCCTCCCCCATCCCCCTCGGTACTGCCCCACCTTCTTCAGAACCAAATCCTCACCCCCCCCCCCCCCATTGCGCCCCGAATCAGGTGCCATCGCCACGTTTCCGTCGGATGAATTATGTGGAATCGTACCCCTCGGTGGTTTCCAAACCTATTCAAAAATGGACGCTTACAGAAATCGGCAAAAATTCAACCGTCACAACAACATCATTGCGTTCAAAGTGCACAAAGGGTGGCGCGATTTCGGTTGAAATTCGCGTCACCACTCGCCGCCCCTCGCCGCCGATCGATGACGAAGAGGAAGACCGAACTTCGCCCCAACTGCGAAACGATTGCGATTGGCGTTGGCCTGAAGGACTTGCCCCGTTGCTGAATCTCGATGCACACCTTTCGCTGCGAAATTGGGAGCTCAAACCAGGTCATGTTGCCCCATTGCGGCTTGTCGGAACACACCTTTCGGTGCGGCATTGGGCGCTGGAAGGAAATCAAGTTCAGCTGATTTCAAACGCTACCCGATACTACTACTCAGCTTCGTCTTGGGCTAGCCATAGATACCTGCTTCTTGATGAGCGCACAGAGTACTTTGAGTGGCTCTGCACCGTTCGATCACGATGCTTCGGATTGCCACCGGGCTTGGTCTCCCTCGGCGGCAACTCTGCATTTCTCAGCGGCTACGAAGCCGGCTCGGCTAAAAGAAATCACTCTGCGCACCACCCACTCGTGTCAATTTTTCTTCACCACCTCAAATTCTTCTCAGCCGCTTCACCGAAAGGCAACGAATTCCCAGTGCGTTTCATTGGCTGTGTCGAAACAACTTGGACGTTTAGTCAACTGTGGCGCTGGAAATTGGCTTAGATTCCTCTTACAACGCCAGGCTTTAGAAGCCTCTTTACAGAAGACACGCACCAAATGCGTCTTAACCAATCAACTCCAGAGGAATTCGAGCTTACGCCAGGTGAGTCGCGACCAGACAGCCTTTTCCATTTCTCAACCAGACAGCAATTTCTTTTTCTCGGATGGAAGGTCTACCTGTCCTCGATACCGCAGTCACTCGACCGCCGGGAGGGCGTCGACTCGGCTCTGCGTTCCTGGAACCAACGCCTGCACCAGTCTGAACCAGCGGTAGATATAGGGTGCCATTCTTTCAAAAAAAATCGTTAACGAGGGGGGGATTCTATTACGAACAGCACGGGAATATCTCGATGGATCTCCCGATAAATCTCCAAGCAGATCTCGCAGAGGTTTCTTCTTGGGCGGACGACGCCGGGCCTTCCGTCCACCTGGCGACGTCCCCCGCTGGCACGTCTCTCCCCCCCATCCGGAGGTTCGTCGTCGCGTGCGGGATGAGTCGCACGCTGAGGCGCGGCCCACTGCCCGCCAACTGGGACGATGTCAGGGCATTTCCCGATGTGAAGGGGGTGAACGTTGAGCTCCTCAACCTCGATCGGGCAAGCGGTGCCGACACGAATTTGGGCGTCTCGCTCCCGGACGAGGACGAGCGCATGATCGAGCGGAAGCTGTCGCCGACTACCGCGAACAATCTCAAGCACTTGGTCATGGCCGCAGACTACGCCAACCAGAAGGTTCTCGAAAGTGAGGTGGCCATGTACAAGGCGGTGCACAACCACGACGAGAAGAGCCAGTACCGTGCGGATCTCGCAGACACGATCGAGATTCAGGCGGACAAGGATCCGAGCATGCCCGACTTGGGCCCGACTCACCTGAAGGTCGTGCTCGGCCAGCTCCAGATCGCCCACGAGGAGACGGCTGCGGCGAAGGAGCAGATGGACGTTGCAGCGGCCGAGCTCGCGCTTGCCAAGGCCCAGTCCGACAACGCCGAGAAGCAGACTCGCGCCAAGATCTACGCGGAGATCCTCCGGGGCGAGAACGAGGCTCTCAAGCAGCTCGCCAGCCACGGCGCGTCCTCGGTCAAGGACCTGTGCTCCATGGCAAACCAGTTCGGCGCCCTTGTGGCGGAGCAGGGACGCAAGGAGTCGCAGCTGGTCGAGGTCTCCCTCTTCTCCGGCAACGCCATTCAGGCCACCCCCCTCGCCATCGCTCCCCCCCCTCCCACCCCTCCCTCCCTCCCCAATCTACCCCCTCCCCCCCCTCCCTCCCTCCCCCCCCTCCCTCCCTCCCTCCCCCCCCTCCCTGCCTCCCTCCCTCCGTCACCGCCACCGCCCCACGCTCGACGCTGCCCTGGTCATCAGACGGTCAGCGAGGCCACCGTGAGCAGCCACGAGCTGCTCAAGACGCTGTCGGGCTACGTCGCCGCGTCGTCCAGTGCAGCGTCGTCGTTGATGCGCGCGGAGCTGCTGGAGCAGGCGGATGCCAAGCTGGACAAGAAGGAGGAGGCGGCGGCGAAACGGGCGGCGGCGGAAAAGGCGGAGGACGTCGCCGTCGCCGCGGCGAAGGCGAGGTGGGCTTTCAAGCAGGAGGATAAGGTGGTGACGCGCGATGGGGGAGAGAGCAAGTACCGTGAGGTTATCGGCGATGCGAAGCTGCTCAAGGAGGCGGCAGAGGCTGAGGCGAACGAGCTCGAAGCGGCGGCTGCCGCGGCGGAGACGGCGGTACGCGCCCCACCCCGGACCGCCCCGCCCGGCCGCAACCGACACGACCCGACCCGCCGCGCTTCAACACCACCCGAGCTCCCACCCCACGCGCGACTGTCGCCCCCCCCCCCCTCACTCCTTGTGCGGTTCCACCGCCCCCCCCTCCCCCCCAGGCCGGACCGCTGACGCCGCCGGGGACGCCGCCGCTGCAGCCGGCTTCTAAGCGGGAGTACGGCTGCGCGCTCTGCGGCTCAAAGGACCACAACCTCACCAAGACGACGAAGGGTGTGAGGTCGGTGACCTGCCTCTACCACAAGGAGTTCAAGGCCGTGATCGGCAAGGAGGACGAGGTCAAGTTCGTCAAACTGACGCCGACGGAGAGGGCCGCAAAGCGGGCGGAGGAGGCGGCGAAGAAGGCGAAGGAGGCGGCGAAGGAGGAGGAGATGGAACAGGAGGGAGAGCCGTGAGCTGCGCAGTGAGAAGAGCGGCGGCGTAGTAGCGGTCGAGAGAGGAGTTGTGTTGACTGTTGTTTGTCTTCACACCGTGTCGGGAGGTGTCCGCGACGAGGGGTCGCGACACACATCTCGCACGCGAGGTCGAACCATGTCCTCTTCTTTCACTTTCCTGAACGCCTTGCCTATCATCATGGTTGCAACTAAAAAGACCTCCAAGCCCTGGGAGCCCTCCCCTTACTATTTTTGCATGCAAGCGGCTAACCACCCGCGATGCCCTCATATTTTGCATGCTAACCACCGCGATCACCACCTTCGACGAGTTCACATGGAACAACGGTGTGCCCAAGCACACCTTCGAGCGTGACGGTACGGATGCGCTGACGGTCACTCCGACGCCAAACCTCGACTACTGGAGCAAGACGTTCTACGAGCCGCTGCTCGTCAAGCACGACGCGCAGACGTTGCTGAGGCCGGTAGCGGCCGACGTGGAGGCGACGCTCACCACGGCCTTCACGCTCAAGCCGCGGGCCCAGTTCGATCAGGCTGGCATCATGATCCTGGTCGACGAGGGCACGTGGGTGAAGGCCGGCATCGAGTTCACCGACGGCTCGCCGCGGCTGTCGTGCGTCGTGACGAACGAGGGCTTCTCCGACTGGAGCACGCAGACGTGGCCCGACTGGGACTCGGCCGCCAAGTCCACGTCGATCCGCGTCCGCGTCTCCAAGCTGCTTCCGGGCGCAGCGCAGGGCCCGGCGCTCGTCTTCGAGGCGGCGCCGTGGGTGGAGGGCGCGACGGCGGAGAGCGCGGCGCCGTGGGTGCAGATCCGGATCGCCAGCCTGCGCAGCGGCGAGAAGCCGTGGCGCATGGGCCTCTTCGCCATCTCGCCGATCGAGGCGGCGGGCTCGTCGACGCGCTTCCACCACGTGCAGCTCGGGCCGAAGCAGGAGCCCGTGCACAGCGCGGACCCGGGACATGGACCGCAGCAGGAGCTTTGAAAGATTTGAAAGAAAGTGTTTACGTGGCTCACAATCAATTCAAGTGGCGTAAATAGCAGTCAACAGAAACGCAAACGCGAACCCGAGGGTCTCAGCACGATGTGGGGGATCATGCGAGGGCGGGGGATCGCCCCGGTCGACTTCGCGGCGATGTCCTGCGACGCCTCGCCGATGGCGGCGAGGCTCTCCATCGCCACCTCGCTCCCCATGCGCGCGACCATCAGCCCGACGGCCGTCGCCGCGAGCGAGTCGATCCAGCGGCAGCCGCACATGACCCCGAAGATGCCGAAGACGGCGACGACCGACGAGAGCGCGTCGGAGCGGTGGTGGAAGGCGTTGGCGATGAGCGAGGGCGAGCGGCAGCGCACGCCGACCGCGTGCGAGATGCTGAAGAGCAGCTCCTTCGAGAGGACGGACGCCATCGCCACGCAGAGCGCCGCCACGTCGAGGTGGGCGCTGCGCGGCGCGCGGCTCAGGGCGCTCGCCGCACCGACGGCAGCGGCGCCGGCGGCGCCGGCGGAGCCACGGATGAAGCCGAGCAGCGTCGAGCCCGAGTGCACCGTCATCGCGACGCCCGTCGCGAGCAGGATGGCCGCGATGCCGAGGGTGCACACGTGCTCGAGCCGCTCGTAGCCGTGCGCCCCCAGCTGCACCGAGGCCCAGCACAGCGCGTCGCTGAAGAGGTCGCTCAGCGAATGCCAGCCGTCGGCGATCAGCGCGCCCGACGATGCCGACGCCCACTTTGAACCCGGAGAGCAGCACATTGACCACTGCACCGATCATGGTGATCCTCGCCGGAGACATACTGCTGCCGGTCCGGCGCACGTAGCGCGCCAGCGTCTGCGCGCATACGATGGCCGGAGCATGTTTCGCTTTCTGATGCGTCCCTCGGAGAGCGGGCGCAGCATAATCTGGGAGTGTCCCTCCTGATTACTGTAGACGAAGGGAGCGCCGCGGCGCACGGTGCCCGGCGGTGCTGCTTTGGCGACATACGGCAGCGGGTGGATGTCCGGAGCGACCTCGGGCGCACGGGGGGCTGCAGACTGAGCAGCGTCATGGAGGGCTTGACCATCAGGGCCGTGATAAGCATCATGGTGGCCGACGCCGCGTCGATAGTGCCCCACAACAAGGTTCCAGGGTGCCAGGCTAGAGAGCCCTGACCCTGCGGGGTGCGCGGTCGCAGGGCCATAACACGCGGGGGTCTAGAACACGGGTCCGAGGGCTCCTGGCTCCGCCTACCGTGGGTTTCCCTTTAGCGCTGCAGAACGCACCCTCTACTCGGGTTAGGTTAGGTTAGGTAGGAAGGTGAAGAACAGCCAGGCTCGGATTGGACACCAACGCGGTATGGTGGACGCTGGACAGATGATACTCGGGATCTTCGTCATCACACGCATGCCCCTCCGTTGGGATTGCCATCAGTCAATACATATGTACTTTTTACTTCTTGAGTCAAGGAACTCATGAGCGCATTGCATCAATGTTTTGCCACGCTCGATCCGGATCCATCCCCAGCGATCCCCCAGGTCCCCACCCATCCCCACCCATCCCCACCCATCCCTAGCCATCCCCAGCCATCCCCAGCCATCCCCGTACGGGCTGGTTCCTGGCTGGTTCAGAAGTCAGGCGGGGGCGGTGGGGGCGGCGGAGCCGGTGGCGGACGTGCGCGGCGTGCCTCCTCGAGCTCCTCGTCGTCGCCAAAGTCAGGCGCGGGCGCACGTGCGGCTTGGACCACTGCATCGAGGCGCCGACGGCCAGCGCGAAGCCTTCGCGCTCGTTCGGCAGCGTGTGCTTCGACTTGCGTGCGCCAGAGGCTGAGAAGAGCGAGTGCATGGATAGCTTCAGTCAGCAAATTTCGGCGTGCGCTGAAAGCAAATTTAACCCCTCGGCGTGCGCTTGTTCACAGCTAGGGCGCCCGTCGCCTACACGGGGCACTAGAGTGACACCCAGCGAGGGACAGACCTCTCAATGATGATGGACGAGCCATGGCGCCAGGCAGGCGAGTTGCCGAGTTCACACCGTCCCATGGGACGTAATGAGCGCGGCGCCGCGCGCGCGAAGGCACTTCACAACTTTGACGTACAAACATGTACATGTACAGCTGTGGAGCGTGCGGCCGACGTGTCCCGCTGATCCCCGAGGTCCCCACCCATCCCCACCCATCCCCACCCATCCGCCATCCCCACACCCATCCCCACCCATCCCCAGATCCCCACCCATCCCCACCCATCCCCACCCATCCCCACCCATCCCCACCCATCCCCACCCATCCCCACCCATCCCCACCCATCCCCAGCTCGCTCTATCACACACCCCAAGAGCCCTCGGGGAAATCCGTTCGCCAGACGCTCCGAGCGGCGGGTACCTCTTCCTATGGATGGACCCGGGGGTGGCTCTTTCGAGGACTCGCCAGGCTCTGCTCCAAGAGACCAAGAGACCAAGTGTTTGCTGTGTGTGCGCGCTCTGCAACGAAAAAACATCATGTTAGCCAAGTTTCAGGCGTATTTTAGCAGCGAGGCAACGGCGCTGGAGAAGTCGGCGTACGCCGTCATCGGCAGCGCCATGCTGATGTTCAGCACGTTTGCGCTCGTGGGACCCCGCTGGCTGCCTGCGTGCGACTTGGCGCGCCAGCCGGCAGAGCTGTTTCCGAACGCGCATTACGGCGCTGATCGCAGCCCGTGCTGGTACCGGCGATATGCGCAGCTCGGCGGGCTGAGCAGCTTCGAGGCGGACATGTGCCGGCGGCTGCTATTTGCGCTCCTGTGCGGCACACTCCTCGGCACCGAGCGGTCAACCTCCAGTACGCCAGCGCCGGTCAAGTCGATGTGCATGGTGACACTCGGCGCCTGCATATGCACCATCTGCTCTATGTTCAGCGAGCTGCATGGCCCCCTCTCCTTCGACGCAGCCCGTGCCACCGCGCAGATCCCAAAGGGGGTGCGGCCCTAGCAGCAGCCGCGCAGTTAGGAGCCCCCAACCGGGCCTAGCGGCCCTCCCCAGGGGGCCTGCGGGAGCTCGAGCCGCTCTTCCCGCGGGCAGGTCGGCTTCATCTGCAGCGCAGTCCTCTGGCGGTCTGGAGGCGGCTACACGAACGCCGTCCTCAAGGGGACAGTCTCGTCAACCTCCTTCTGGGCAGGCGCCGCCGTCCGGGAGACATCTCGGCTGCACCTCGCTCAGAACCTCCGTCGGATCTCGGCCGCACCTCGGCTGCACCTCGCCACCCTCCCTCGTGCGCAGGCGCCGCCATCGGCGCCATGGCGGGCGGAGGCATGTGTGTGCCGCCCTAGCCGCCGATGCGCCTTTGCAGACCCCTCCTCGCCCCTCCTCGCCCCTCTGCGCCTCCTCGCCTCCTCAACCTCGCCTCCACCCTCCTCGCCTCCTCCGCCCCTCCCCGCAGCTACGGCCCGGCTCTCTTCGCAACCATGCTTTGCGTGACGGTGAACCAGCTCGGCAAGCGCGGTGCGTGGGCAGCCTCGCCAGCCGCCCGACACAGGGGCGCGGCCAGCACTCATCTGCCCCGCCCGCCCCGTCGCCGGCCAGGCGCCTTGCGGCCTATCGCGTCGGAGGCAAAGACCGCCCGCCTCTCAGCCCGCTGCACACGCGTGTGCGCTTTCCGCACGGCGCGGTGACCAGAGACCTGCGGGGGAGGGCGGCGCCCCTCGCTAGGCGGGAGATCCCGGCTCGATCTCGGCTCGATCTCGGCTCGATCTCGGGTAGGCGGGAGGCCTCCTCGCGCCGCTCACCGAGTCGCTGCTCGCCCCTCCCGCGGGGACACCAACCTCCCCCGGTGCTAGACCGGAGCTCGAGAGTGGCTGAAGCGAACCGAGCACGCGTCCGGGGAGGAGCTGTACAGTAGGCTGCTTGGGGCTTGGCAGAGCTCACAAGAACTATTACCCCCGGTACTACCGTACTGTGCACATTACGGGAGCGAAGGGTGTGTGCAGTGTGGAGAGTAATGGACATCTCTGCGCTCAAGAACAGGAGATCGTTGGGGTAGAGATAGTAGATTAAGACTGGAACGCCCGGCAGGACGCTTCACCGCGAGGCGCGCGCGGCGGCACGCCGCGCGCGCAGGCCACCGAGCACGCGCTCGTTACCCGAGCACCACGGTGGTCCCGCCCACATACTCGGAGCGAGCCTCAACCCCTCCGCAGAGTAGTTCTGAAAATATTGATCCTCAGGCAGGCCGGGAAACTCGAGCGGGTAGTCTTCAGCATGTTAAGCACTTGTCGAGCGAGCAGGGCGGGATGACCGTCGCCCGCTCGCGGAGTGATGTGGCCGGCGGCGGCGGCGAGCGATGCGGGCCCCCACGATGACACTCCCCATGGGATCGACGCGCGCTGCTGCCGTGAAGACGGGCCCCAGGCAGGCAGCGGGTCATGTCAGACAGGGCTGCGAATGGGACGTCGGCCGTAGGGTCGCAAAGTAAGAGCCCCGACCGTCATGTACTGCAAGAAGTCGACGGTCTTTGCCTCTGTAGATGGCACTGGTCCCAAGGGTACGATCGCCTCAGAGTGCCCCAAGTCGCCCCACTGCAAAAGGAGCTCGGGCACCGGGATTTGGTGGGAATGCAGTGCCTGGACGCACACCGTCCGGAACGCATCCTCATCCACGTGCACCGTGCTGAACACGCCGAGGTCGGACAAGGCACCGAGAGGATGCGGCGCCACGCCGCGGCCAAGACGGCCAGCCACAAGATGCTGAGTCTGTCAAAGTAGTTGGCTACAGCGGGATCGGGCTCACAGAACGGGAGAAGTCCACTGATGGCGGCCCACTGCGGAATCTGGACCCACGACGGTTGCATCCCTGGAGGAAGGGGCAGATTGAGGAAGGCCGGATTGCCCACCACAGACCACGGAATGAAGCGCAGGGTAGAGGCTACCACTGTTGAGTCGACGGGCATCACCAATGGCTTTGCGGGATCGGGGTTCTGCTCGGCCGGAATGCTGAGCTCGGCGACGGCGAGCATCGCGGCGCTGGTCGTCTCGTCGAGGGCTGCCTCT